AAAATGCTGATTCATTGAAGCCAAAATGGAGACAAAGAGATGGATCTAACCAGGTCGTGCTTTATATCAAGAAGCAGAGGCACTTCAACTTTGATTATGCACATCTCAGGAAAGTGCATCAACCTCTAGATTGTTGGGCATGGTGCTGGTGATGTAGTTGTTTTCATGAAGAACCTCAGGTCTGGAATTTGTTCCAAGGCAGTACAAAAGCATCTCTAAAATCATGAAAAGGTTTGTAGGATGGGCAAATGAATGTTCTCATCCAGATCTGCTGACCAATTTTCTAGTAATGCTCTGCTGCCTTTTCATGACAATGAAAGGAGAAGTTAGATCACAAAAAAACAAACCGTATTTCTTAGCTGCAATCATATTTGGTTTATTTTAAAATAATAAAAGTTGGGAAAAAAACCCAGTCCAAATTACTTACCAAGATCTTTGGCAGGTATATCAGAATTGCACTGTTTCCATTTCACACAGCAAACCGCTTTACAGTCATTAAGTTCTTTTAACATGGATAAAATAGACATCCTGTTACATTGCTCGTCTACCAGGTTAAATACTTGATGCCGTGAAAAGCCGGAATTGAAGACTCAATAGTCGGCAGACTATTCAGCAGGTATTCTTTATTGCGGCGCCGGGCACACGGGGGATCTCTCCTCCAAACGTGTGCACCGAAGAGACACAGTTACTAGGTATTTATGCTATGTTAACATACATATTCATTACATTTCCAAGAAATGTTTATCATAGTAATGGCTTTTCCAAGAGTTCATTAATATATGCTAATGTCCGTGGCACATGTTTGTTTGGCGTCTCTCGGCGGGGGTCTTCAGATTATCCTGCAGCCTCCTTATCTCTGTAGTTTGCATACCTGTTCTCCCAAGGCCCAGGCGCCTAAAGGGATTATTCAGGAGTCCCTTGTCTTGCAACCGTCCCAATATTCACAAAGAACCAAGACTTGTTTCTGACCACCTGAAGTGGTAACATCCCCTACATGTTACATTTGTTACATTTACAGTTATCAACTTAAAGTCACAGTAGTTTTGGTATCATCCTAAGCCGTGTTAGTGCTAACAAACAAATAATGAATATTAACATGGAATAGTCAAAATTCCAGAAGAAAGTTTGTTCAAGCATAGGTTCTTTGAAAGAAATAATTTGAAAATAATGTTTTCTCTGTCATGATAATGTCAAATAGATCTGCAGTTTACAAGAGTAAAATAAGAACCTTGATAGGGTGCTTACTGATGTTGTCTTTTGGATGAAAGCCTGAAGGAATCCAGAGAGTTTTGATTTCTTGATTTTTGCTTTTTTTTTTCGTTCAGGTGGAGCATTTGCTGTGGCATTTATATGTGTTTCTCTTCATGCCTGGCAATATTTAGCAAGTTTATTTGGTTTTTTTCCAGATGCCAGTACTAAAGCTTTAGGCAATGGAAGGAGATCTTGGTAGATTTCCTTAGTCATTGTTCCAATTTGATCTGGTATTTTGAAGTATTTAAAAAAAAAAAAAAAAGAGAAAGAAACCAGCAGCCCTAACTTAAAATTATTTAAAATCTTGTAGATTGATTATATTCCAAGATACTGTTCTGCTTTGGGTGGAGATTGAGGAAATAATGAATGAGTCTGACATATTAAGATGTGAATTTTTTCTGTAATAAAAATCATATGTTAGTTGAAATGCAAGTCTTAGGCTTCTTTTTATAATTAAAAAAAGAAGTCTCTTGTTTTGTACTAGTAAAGGTAGAGGGAGGATAAGAGTTTGAGAAGAGACTACTGAGACTGTAGTTTTTGAGGGTCATTGCGAGTAAAATGAAAATTTGAACTGACACACTTCTGATTTTCAAACACTGGAAAGTCTGAAAACACAGTTGATGCTCTTCATGCATTTATAAGCCTGAAAAAGGAGTTTGGCCATTAGGTGTGGGGAGAAAAGTCTGTCATGTGGAAGAAGAAAACCAAAATCTTTTAAAAGAGGGATTGGGGGAGAAAAAAAACGCATGGCTGTGAAGGGAGGGGAGAGCAAAAAGCTAGCCTGTGTCTCTCTGTTGCCCCCTTGTAGCCCAGGCACATACCATCTTACAGCGAGCCAAAGAGCACACAGCGTCACCAGCAATTGCTGACAGACACTTTTGCCTCCACTGGCCCTGTAGTGCCCACTCTCCAGCTGCTCCGGTGAGGGCTTGCGCTGTTAGCCCGTGGGTGCAGTAGCAAACTGGCTGGGGAGCTGGGCGAGACCTCCGTGCCTTGGTTTCTAGGTTTGCACTGCCCTTGGGTGAGGTGCGTTTTCGTTTCTCTGCGTACACTAAACAGCATGACCGCAAGGTTCAATAAAAAATGCAAGTACCTGGATTTATTTGTAACACCCAAAATAGTCATCCCCGTTTACAGATGTTTAGAAAATACAGAGGTGAGAAAAGAAAAGCTGTAGTGAATATACTCGTGCTGCACTTGCATCAGAGGAATACCTCTTCTGTCGTTCAGTTTACACATTTTTTCCCTTGCTGTCCAGACAGTAGTCGGGTCTTCAGCTTTGCCCATTTCTCTCTGTTTCTCATGTATTATGTTAGCTGGTATGGCTGTTTTCCCTTTGAAGCCTTTTAGCCAGTCTGTACGGTGTAACTGTTCACCCTAGACCTCACTGTGTCCTCTGCTTAAGTAGGAGACAGTAACTCTTTTTAGTTAGACCGCTTCCTAATTAGAATAAAAGTAACTTTCCATAGACTTGTAAAATGCTCATTGTTATTCTAGGAATAATCCCCTGCACCTGGTTGCCTAGAAAACAATTCTTAGCTTCAATTAAATGTAAAAGTCTCTCTCTTCTCTGGTGATCAAAGTGATCCAGGGATTATTGCTGCAAATCTTTTTGTTTATGAGAGACTTGTCTCCCAGTGCCTGTGGTCAGTTACAGTATGGATCTGCGTGCCAGCTGATTCCTTTCCTGGCAAAGTTGGGAGAAGGGAACACAGAACCAAACTCTTAAAACTTAGCTTAAAACATTGCTGCCCGGTAAAATCATAACAGGTTTGCTATATAGCAAATTCCATGCAAGTTATTACCAGCTTATTTTACTTCTTAAAAAGCAGACTCAAATATGTATATTTGCTGACTGTTTCTTTCATTGGCAGAGTACAATTTGCTTTATCTTACAGTGCTGTAAGAAAATCTTTTACTTCTTGCAATTCAAGATTCGTTTCCATGTATTTTGTTTTATCACTTAATGATGACTTCTGCTTCTAGTCAATACCTATGTGGGTTTCCTGAAAGCTAGTTCAAAAGCTTCAAAGGCTAAGTGCAAAAGAAAATACAGATAAAAATCTTTAAAAATCAGGAACTATAAAAGGAAAGTTTTTAACAGTCTTTTGACTTAGTCACATTACACATCCTGGATCGTTTAAGATAGTGATTTATTATATTTATGACAAGAATATTATATTAAGCTAAACATTTAACAAGCAAGACAACAGAATATGAGATGTTGCAACACAGCCAAGGTATCCAAGTGCTGTTGGAAGTTCAATTCTTATTTTAACTGTGCACTTTGCAACATTGTACCCTAGTTTCTTTAAGCAAACATTTCTATGAATCATTAGCATTTAGATGGATATGGAAGGATTTAATAAAATAGATGTCGTCAGCTTTGGAAGAGTCCAGTACCAGTTTTCTGATGAGCTGCTTAACTCCTTGCTCCACATTTGTTCAGCTTGTAAATCTAGGAAGTACTACAGCTGTGAAAAATACAGAGCTTTTTCTGTTTCCCCACCTTATTTGCTGTCAGACTTGACACCAGTTGGGCAAGTGATATCTCCCCCACAGCATATTAAATGCAACACCTCTGCATTTCTCAAAGATTGCTGGATAGGAATAAGCCAACTTTATAGAGCTGTATTATTTACAGAGTTCAACTCTGTAAATGAACTGAAACATTGATCCTTCTGAATTTCTTTTCTGTGAGCATCCCCGCACGCAAGGTTTTTCAGCATTCTCCGTGATTCTCTGTGCTTCTCACAGAGAACCACTCAGATGTTTGTGAGACTCTGGCTAACTTTGCTTTTCAGGCACATGTGCATTTGACTGTGACTCCAGTGGGAGGAATTTGCCCTACTGTATATGTCTTTACATTAACTGGTTGCAGCTAAACAAAGCAGACCTGCACTTTGAAAGGCACACAATATCGTACCATTATATGACAACCAAAGCAGCCAGAAATTGTGTCAGATCCCCCAAAAAGTCTTAAAAAGCATGAGTGGATTTTGTGGGGTTTTTTCCTTTAGGAAAAAGGTTAAATGCAGGATTTCTTTTTATTGTCTTCAGGTTTCTCTGCTTTCAAGTTATCAAGTAAGTGGTAGAAACTTACTTTAATTATTGTGATTAAAACTAAGATATAATGCTATAATGAAGAAGCTGAGACTTCAAGAAAAATGCACAAGACTCAAGTTATGGGAACTGGTAACACACAAATTCATTAAAACATTGCATTTCTAAATTCAGAAAACCTCCAAAAAAACAGAATTTATCAGGTTGGTTTGAGGACATTGCGACGCGTTTGTGGGTAAGCTAGGAACCAAACAAAAGAAGCACTTCTGTTATGTTGTTTTTCTCACTCTGCGAAGAATGAAAACCTACATATATTTAAGTTCAAAGCTTGCCTCAGAGCGGCTTTGACTGAACCACGTGGTTCTTTTCTGTAGTTTGTAGCACTTGTACTGGCGTTCCAGGGTAAGCATTTGTGGATATTGCTTGGAACGATGGTTTCAGATTCACACCATACAGCATGCAGTGACACAGTGATCACTGTGAACCGTAATTTTGTGGTTAAGGTTTCCCATTCCATTTATCTGCATTTAAAGGGAAGCAGCGTTCCTCCCACCTGAAGTGCTGGCTGCATTACACTTGCACCTTTGTCTCTGTCGCTCGTTTCTTTTTTTCAATTTCCCTCGCTTTATTCTCTTCCTGCCATCTTTGGAGAGAGAAGTTCCTTCCTCCACAGTCCCAGCTCCCAGTCAGAGGGATACGGAGCGCTTCCTCTTCCTAGTGGCATACTCCCCCACAACAAAATTGGATAAGGAGTGGCTCAGGCGAGTGTCCAGAGTATCAGAGGTGCTGCTGCTGCTGCTGCTGCTGGTTTTCACCCATGGACACAGGCACCGGAGCATGGCTCTACGGATGTAGTTGTCAAAGCAATAGTAAATGAAAGGGTTGGCACAGCTATTGGCAAAAGCAAAAGGGCTGCTCAGCTGTATGCCCAGCTGGGCAACCATGTCGGGAGAACAGTCGGGCTGCTTCAGGAGTCCCAAAAGGATGGCCATAAGCTTGAAAAGGTTGAAGGGAACCCAGGAGATAACAAAAGCTGCCACTACAATGAAGACAATCTTGATGGATTTTCTCAGTTTCTTATCATGTTTCCCAGCTCTCTGGTAATGCACACAGAGCCTCTTGGTGATGGAGCAGTAGAAGGTTAAGATACTCAACAGTGGGAAGAAGAAGGCCAGGATTAAGACCGTCAGTGACATGATCTGTCTGGCTTCTGTCACAGCTTTGTCTGCGCAGTAAGTCTTTCCATATTGCTTCTTCAGTTCTCTGGACAAAAGGGTTGGCATCCCCAGGCAGCAGGATAATAACCAGACACAGATACAGAGTCCACTGGAATTGGATCTTGTTCTGACCCGTCTAGCGATAGAGGGATGCATGATAGCAAGGTAGCGGTCAGCACTCATACAAGTGAGGAGGAGGATGCTGCAGTACATGTTGACTGAGATAACATAGGAACTAGCTTTACAGAGGAAAGATCCTACCCTCCAACTCCCGTCCGATGCCTCCTTGTCCACCCAGAACGGCAGCGTGATGAGGAAGATGAAGTCAGATGCAGCGAGGTTGATGATGAAGACGTCGATCAGCCTCTGGACCCGTCGCTTGAAGACCAAGGCTGCTATCAAGATGGAGTTGCCGACAATGCCCACCAGGAACACAGCAGTGTAGACGACAGGGAGGAAAGTAGACATATACTGCAGGTGCTGATACTGGCAGCTGTCATCGTAGTAGTAGTCATAGTTGAAAGTGACTGTAGTCACCGGCGAAAGCTGGGTGAGTTCCATTTCTGGCCAAGCTGTCCTCATCTCCGCTCTGAGGAAGGCTCTGAGCTCCCCCTACCCTTCCCCTCAAGGTCGTCTTTAAAAACATGTTATCGAGGGAGGAGGGAGGAGTAGGGGGAGGGAGGAGGAGAAAAGTGGTTTTGGGGGGGTAATTTATATACTTTTAGCCAATCACATAGGCAATGGACAGGCAACGAGAGTCTCTGATTAGTCAAAACCTTGTCTTCAGAATAAACACTTGCTTCTTTTCTTAAAATCAGGTTTAGTTTTACTGATTTTATCTTCATTTTACATTTGCCTGTGTAAGCGAACCAGGTTTGGGTTTTACTTTTATATTGGGGGGAGGGAAGATAGTTTTCAAGATTCTGAACTTTTTATTTTTTAAGACAGGATATTGCTAGTTTGCAGAGGTTTGAGATTGTACCCGCTCAGAAGTCAGAGAACAGTGAATTCAGGTGCCTCATTCTTTATCTTTACTCAGAACATTTTGTATAAATTGCTTTTCAGGGCAAGTAAAACTTTTCTGAGGCTCAGAGGTTTTTACTTTGTCAGTTTATGATTGTTGTTTTCTGTTGAGAGTAATTGTCTCACATGAAAATACTTGGGGAAGAACATTTAAAACTACCATTGCCATTCTGCCCTGTAGTTAGTTGTTCTATACCAGTCCCAGGCTCTCCACTGCTCTGCCAGTGCCCCGCTCCTGCCCTGCAGACCCTCCAGTTCCCCTAGCCCTGGGCTCCCCACAAGCAACTTTATGAATGTATTTGAAACTTGGAGGAAAGTTTTCCAGCGTGCCATAGATCCGTCCACAATTCGAAACTTGACTTGATGTTCCCATCCCCGCACAGGCTTCCTTGTAGTCCTGATCTCCAGAGCAATGGTTTGTTCATTCTTCTGACTGTGCAGCCCACGTGGCTCTTGAGCCGTTGTTGTGTACAGTGCTCCCTTCTCTTAAAGAGCTCTGATTTCCTTCATCTCTCATTCGCAATATCAATATCGCTCCAGCTGTAGCTTACCATACAGACTGCCCTTTCAGCATTGCATAAATCAAATGAAATTCTCACTTTTTGAACTACTGAATTCATTACAGCTTTGTCAAGTGCATACTAATTTGAAACTTCTACTACTGGTCTTCATCATCCTTCCCCTCTTCTGCAGATAAGTTCATTTTCTCCTTCCCCTCCCTCCCACCTGCATGTTCACAGACCAGGTGTGCCTTCAGGAGTCTCAGAGCTTTGAGCAAATTGCTTACTGGAGTGTGCTCAAGCAGATAGATCGTGTCTATATATGTCTCCACAGGCAAAGCGCAACTCCAAATTGCACAGACAGCAAACTAGTCCCTCTGGAACACTCTGGATGCACTCAGATTCCCTCTGCCAGTGCTCAGGTTATGTGCTCCCATGCGGCAGGTACCTGGTAGACTTCCAGGCACCTGGAAAAGCAGCCAGCTGCTATTAAACGACTGGCTGCTGGATCAAGGGATATTTAGGCAGGCACTCTCTCTTGTGTAGATGTGCTGATGTCTAATAAGGAGCTAGTTATATACAGCTGCCTTCCTATTAGTAAGGCACTAGTGGACTCTAGCTGACTGTTTTTCATGGAATGTGTAAGGATTTAATTATCTCAGTGAGTGTAATTCAGCCGTCACAAACTCTGAAAAAAGATCAAGGTGTATAAAAACACCCTGGCTTAGATTACCGATTTGTATGCCGCAGACCTAAGCGTGAACCTGTAAGGAAGCACAGGCTAAAAATCATCTTCTCGCCATCTGAAGATGACAAAAGATTTACCAACTTTTCAGCTAAGAGTTGTGTAAAAATGCTCAAGTATCTTTCAGTCTACAGAAACAATTTTTGATGGATTCAGTGCAAAGGTGAGTTTTGTGTCACCTTTATTTATTTCTGCTTCAAGGAATGCGGTTTTTTCTTCCAAGAAGCGCTGGGAAATAGAGGCATTCTCTTTCCATCAGCACTAGAGTAGAAGATCAGCTGAACCCTGTGGTCTGTGGTATAATAGTTCTGCCTCCCTTGCAAAGATGGACCTACCTGTTATTTTACTCTGCACTTAGATCCTAACAGTTTACATGTAGTTGCAGGCTTTATAAATCAGGCACAAACTTCTCTCCCTCCATCTTGCACTACTGCATACTCCTTCTTGAAATTCACTCCCTCCCTCTCCCCATCCCAGAGCAGACAAAAAAAGGAGTAACTTTTTGAAAAGCTTAATGGAACCATAAAGATAAGCATATGTCCATGTGTTCTTGTGTTTGTAGTTCCTCACTTTGTTGTCTCCTTGTAGTTTAATAGCCTTACTTACTAAAATAAAAAAATCATATAGTAAACCTTTTCCAATAGGATCAACTCTGTTCTGTTGAATTTGCTCTGTATTTATTGAATGCTCAAAACAGACTTGTGGATGTCACTGCTTGTTGCCATGTTGCAGATGTGACACTTCCTTATCTGGACAGAAGATTTGCAAAGATAATATGAAGCGTTGTTGTGAATAATGAAGCGATCTTTAATTAACCAAGCATAGCAGGAACAGGCGTATTTGTTGGTAGTCTGTAAGCCTTGTGGTTTTTTATGTGGTGTTGATTCACTTAGGACATCGTGTAAGGTCCTGCTCTTCTCAGAGCTCATATCCCTGAAGTAGAGCCAAGCTCTCAAAAATACTCAGCACATGGGAATTCCTCTCATAACACTTCTGCATAGATATTCCAGAAAGCTCAGCTTGTGATGTGCTAAGCTCCAGGAGATGTGGTGAGGTGTTTTGTCAGCAGGAGGGCAGCCTCCATGCTCTTCTCAACCCGCTTCTAGATTCCCACAGCACTTTCCTCCTCCCAGATCTCACCAGATACATGTAAACCCTTTTCCCAAACAAAATTTTCTGCTGAAGCAAAGCTACTGGCTTGGTTTGGGTGTATGTTCTTCCTTTTGGGGTACCCACCTTGTCCGGCCCTTGACGCAGCACTGAAAAAAATGCAGCCGCAGGGTGCTGAGTAATTTTGAACCTGAGAGTGAACCTAAAGCTCCTGTAACCACAGACTCACAGCAGATCCTGTAATCGTGGCCGTGCATTTGGCCAGTTCTGCTTTAGAGCGTGTGTTTCTCTGATGGTCCTGCCTTTCTCAGATGCACTTGCGAAGTTTGTCACCTCAGCGTTTGTACCGTGCCTGAAGTCTTCCTCACTGGAAACGCTGAGGTATTTCCAACAGAAGCAAGGGAAAAGATCTCATGTCTTCGTTTGCAGTTCTGTATTATGGGAGCCTTCTGATTCTGTGCCAAAAGCAGTGAAAGAGATGCACAGCAGAACGATCTGCACAGGAAGTATGCAGGGTTGTTGATGTCGTTTGTTACACACACCCCTCCTGACAAATTTCTGCAATTGAAGCATTTCTGGTAGCGAGGTGTGGGTTTGTTTTTTTTTTTCCATTTTTTTTACATTGTCTGTTTTACTGATAGTTTAAATGTGGTTTTATTCCAGCTTGTACATGTGCCTTTTTATAAGCACAGGCATCTAGATAAAATAAGCTACGTATCTATAAATTATTAATGATGATAAGAGCTGAGAAGGAACGGAGGTTCATTTGGCTGTAAAAGAAAGTGTAGTAGTTTCTAAATGATTGTGCTTCAAAAACCTCCTGTAAGGAATAGAGATTTGCAGACCTAATTAAAAAAAAACAACCAAGAAAACCCCACCAGATTTGCTGAAACTGAAGGCAGGCTCAGAGGTAGCCAGATGAATGGTAACCAACAGAAGTTTCATCCCTGAACAAAGAGGAGAGGGTAGTACTGATTCAGGTAAAATTGTGGGCACTGGGACAAGGCATCAGGGTAGGCTGAAATGGTTGCATACCGAGAGCAGTGGTCTACAAAGTGCGGTGTGGTAAGAAAATATTTTTGTATACTTAAGAAAATAAATATTTTTAAAATAGTGTTTGTTTCCTCTTTGTCTCATCCTTTTTAAATTCATATTTTTGTGTATTTTTTATAATGTACGTATTAGTACAGAGTACATGTATATAATTAAAAAACCTCACATGTAATAGGGGTGCATGCCCAAAAAGTTTTTATTGATGGGGTGCATGATGAAAGGTTAGGAGACCACTGACTTAGAGGACAAGTGGGTATCATTAAAGCGAACCCGTGCTATTCATCACATTTGGAAGAAGCACATCGAGAAGGTTTTCTCTCTGTGAAAATTATAATTAGGGTAGGGTTTTCTTAGCCTACTGTGTTCTGTGCCACAGACAGAAAAATACAGAAAGCAGAAATAAAACCAGGGAGACTGTATAAAGAGGTGTGGGGGGAATCCATGAGATTTTCTGCCCATTATATGTGCAGGCTATGTGAAAGGCTCACAGATGATGCCTAAAACACAGAAATGAAAAATGCCCTTTTTATTATTACAAAGAGAATATTTGCTGGGGGATGCGATATCTTGTAAATTAACTAGTATTATTGGAAGAAACGGGCAGACTTTTTGACCGCTTTTTCAGGTCTGAATCAGTCAGTCCTGAAGCGAATGTGGTGTACAAAGGAGGTTTTTTCATTTCTTACCCTGTATCAACTTCATGTAATACAGATGGTCACGCCTCCTGCAAATGTTTGCTTATTTCCTTAGACTGTGAGAGCTAAATTGACACAAATTTTGTTTGACACAGATTTTTTTCAACATACTAGGGGTTTTTTGTTTGTTTTGTTTGCAGCACTCTGATGTTAAACTGTCTGACAGTGCCTGACACCTTCTGTTAGAGGGGCTAACTAATGCACACGATCCAGGACTGCTATCGAAGAAACTTCAGGTTTGCAAAAAGCAGGAACAGCGTTTGAGCTGTAGCCACCAGCATTACTCTCTTCGTGCTTTCATGTGCAAAGTGCCACGGTTTCTGCACAGTAAGGCAAACTTTTACTTTGAAAAACCTTCCCAAATGATCCTCTTCTGTAGCTAAACTGATCAGCGAGTGGTTCTGCTGAGGCACACTGAGGTGTGAAGAGAAAACGAAAAAAGATAGGTGTTAGCAA